GGCAGCCCGCCAAAGTCCTTGGCCGCGGCGCGCGCGCCCGCAGACCGTGCCGCCGTGCGGATGCGGGGGCTGCGCGCCTCCGCCCGCAGACGCTGCTTCTCAGCCGGGCCAAGATCAACAAAAGCTCGCCTCCATGTTTTGATTCTGTCAGAAAGCAGCTTCTGAATGTGGACAAGCGAAGCGTTCCGAGGCCGTCCGGATGGCGGGGCATTTAGGAATGCGGGGGTGCATGTGAGCTCAAACAGCAGTCATCATAAAGCTAAACGATTAATGCAGGTCGCCGTTGCCCTGGGGAGTGCAGTCTTTGAAACTCACCCTCGCCCCGCAGGGTTGGTTTCGTTTCCGCAGTTCATCCCGGGCGATGCCCGCCTCGTCTCGCGGCCGTTTTTGGTCAATAACAGGACTGCGCCGTGGACGTTCTGTATCTGTCGTATTTCGTTCAAGTAACAATATCCCAATACCCCCCAACTGCACAAATAGCTAGCAGGCGGCGTGGAAAAGTGCCTCTTTGTCTCTCCCGCCCCAAACCTTTCCCTCCTAGAGCTGTTTTTTGCCTTGCATTTTTCCCCCCTTTTAGAATGTCCACACTTAACGGCATTACTGCCGGTTTGCTTGCTTGTTATCTTTCCAATTTCGGGCATATGTGTACTTTCAGATTAATAAATTTTAATAAGTTAAAATGAGTGATATATAGTAATGATAAATTACAAGAGGAAATTTTCCTTTCACTAAATGTAGATTTTGATTTTAAAATGCTTGAATCATACTAACAAAGCAAAAAAAAAAAAAGACAAAAGAATGGTCACTTAGATAAGGTTAGCCAAAAAAGATAAGCCAAGTCATTTATATACATGCGGAAACAATCAAAAATTCAGCTATTACATGGAAATGATATTGTCCACTTTCTTGCCATGCCAAAAGAATCTGCATAAAAACATAGGCACAAAGAAATTTTGAAGCTTGGAATTTTGCTTCTGGTTTTCCTTTTCTTCCTTTTCACTGAAAATTGCTGAAACTTTAGAGGGTTGAAAAGATGCAGAAATCTGGCAATTTAAAAGACTGGAGAAATTTCATGGTTTTTTTCCTTTCATGAATTCTTTAGCAAGAGGGAGATAAGCAAGTAAAAGAATCTATGATTACATACCTAGATGATGTTTGTGCATTTTAAACCAAGAATTTTCTCACTTTTTTCCTGGTTGCCCTGTAGCCTTCCCGCCACGGGCTTCATTGCCTTGAAGGGAGAGCAAATAGAGCCTGAATTTCAAAAATATTTTTTAAAGTTATAATAAAAGCAATATGGTCTCAGGGTGGAGTTCTTAGTTGTAAGAGCCAGGTGCTTGACAGAAAAGATACATGTATTTTTCTTTTTGATTCTTAAGAAATTGGCTTTGCATGTAAAGATTCAGAACAATAGAGGACTAACCACCAATTTGAGCAGAAGAACAAACATAAAAAAAAAAAAAAAAAAAAAAAACAGCTTCTCTCCATAGGAGACAAATTCCTTTCCGGGCTGGAGGAGGGATTTATTTATTTTTTTTTTGTGAGGAAGATCAGCCCTGAGCTAACATCAGTGCTAATCCTCCTCTTTTTGCTAAGGAAGACCAGCTCTGAGCTAACATCTATTGCCAATCCTCGTCCTTTTTTTCTCCCCAAAGCCCCAGTAGACAGTTGCATGTGGTAGTTGCAGTATGTGGGACCGGCCTCAGCGTGGCTGGAGAAGCAGTGCATCTGTACGGTGTGTGCCAGGGATCCAAACCCAGGCCGCCAGCAGTGGAGCGTGAGCACTCAACTGCTAGGCCACGGGGCCGGCCCTGGAGGAGGGATTTAGAAAGAAAAGGTGAGAAGAGAACTTGGTGAAAATCAGTGGGGGTGGGAATGGGGGTAGGGATGGGCAGTGTTGGCTCTGCCTGCACCTTTGGGAGAAGACAGCCCATTTAGTGCCCTGAGCCAGCTTGGGTTGGCCTTTAAAAGAGTAGGAAAGAGCATCTAGAGGGCCCTTTATAGCTCTGATAACCAACTTTACCACTCCCTTCCTCCCCTGCCACCCCCCCACGCCTTGTCTCTCACAGGCCCTAGAGGAATGCTGAAGTGCTTCCCAGGCACCATGGTCCATATGACTGATGCTGGAGGGGTGGACAGCCCAGGTTTGCAAAGGCGGCTGCAGCTAGTTCTTAACAAGTCATCAGGCCCCTGAGATCCATGTGGGGCCAAATCAACAGAGGAGAGCCCTCCAGCTCTCCTGCAATGACCCTTGTGCACTTGTGCTGGGAGATCCAACAGTGCACTCTCAGTGGATCCCACAGGGAAGAAGGCACAGAATTATAAATTACAGAGATGATGCTAGGATGATACTGAAGCCTCTTCCCCCACCACTGCCGCCACTAGAAACCAGATCAGAGAAGGACAGGGAGAGAATCCTAATCAACCGAGAACTATCCACCACCACTCCCAAACTGAGTTTTAAGCCATAAGCGACTGAATTCTCTTAATTTAACAAGATTAAGTTTTCCATCGCAAGTGGAAGCACGTTCATTAAAACTGCTGCTACATTGTGTCTCTGAAGAAATCCAAAGAACAGTTCCAGCAGCAACCTGGCCTCTCTGCCAGATGGCTTCCCCTAAAGGGCATGGCCCCGGCTCCTGAGGGTGATCATAACAGCAAGCAGAGGACTAAGGAAGCACTTGGTGTGAAGGTCTGCATGTGGGACACAGAGAGCAAATGCTCTAGTCAATGTCATGGCCAAGGTTATGGCTTGACTTGAGAAACAGTCCACAGTGAAGGGAAAACGTGTACACAAAAGAGTGTATGAGGTCCCAAGTCAGTCAAATCACAGTGGTGATAAGACGTGGTGTCCTGAAAGTCCAGGAAGAGAATGTTTTAAGAAGAGAGTGGTCCCCTGTGTCAGAAGCTGTGGAGAGATCAAGTAAGAGGGATATTGGTCTTAATGGTCAGATTTGGAGATTGGAACCACTGGCAAATTTAGCAAACGTAGTTTTGGTGGAGTGATGGCAGCAGACTCCATACAGGAGTGAGTTCAGGAGTGGGAAATGGAGACATTTGGCTGTGAAGGAGATAAGAGAGAGGAAGCTGGAGACCAGGGTCATGGGGTCCAGGCAGCTTTTAAATTGAAGATGGGAGTAGCTTGAGCATGCGCATCTGCTGAGTGGGAGGGGCTGATAGAGGGAGAGTTTGAGGATACTGAAGAAAAAGAGGGTAACATAATTTCTGAAGAAGCAAGAGGGGCTAGGATCCAACACACAGGTGGAGAGATTAACGTCAGGGAGACAGAGAGACATCTGCTGCATTTTAAAGGGAAAAAAAGGTTTGTAAGTTTGGGGGTGGGGAATTGAGATGGAGGTCATGTGATGAAGTAGAGACTGCTTGAAATGGACATTTTAGATTGCAGGGGAGCAAGCTGTCTTGGAAAGACATAGTTTAAGTTCTGGCCAATTTTTTAAAAATTATAAATTATACATGCACACAAAAATGAAACGTTTAAAGAGAATTAAAAGGCATAAATGACAGTAAAAATCTCCCTCCCCTGTTGTGCCTGGTCCCACTCTGCATATATCAGATTAATGTCAATTTCTCTCTTTGTTTCTTTGGGTGGTTATTTTTGTAACTCCAAAATATAGGCTTATGTTTCTATTTCTTGATTTTTCAACTTTAAGCAGTACTTATTTCACTCCTGAATGTGAAAGATGATAAATCCATATTACTTACAATACCCCTTCTGTCTCCCAATTTTTGTTAGTTATATTTTTATTGTTCTGCTGTTGGCCACCTTTCATAAATTTAAATATTATACTTAATCTTTAAGATTATTACACTTAATTTTTAAATTCTTTAACCTTTAATTCTTTAATCTTTAATTATACTATCATCTTTAGACAGTTAGCTCTTGATTCCCACATCGTGTAAGAAGATTCTGGAGGAGAAACCATATGGCACATATTTGGACATTCAAAAAATCTGGCTTTAAGAGAAAATCTAATCCCTAGTGGGGATTGGCAGCAGGTGGAGAATTCTGAATTATTCCTGCTTACCTGCAGGGTTTGTGTCTTTTCATTTTTACATTAAGCCTTAACATTAATAAATGTCAATAAATTTGTTTGCTGCTGTGAGAAATAAGATTGTGACGTTACATCTTTCATGGGGGGTAGTTTCTAAAATCAGCATGTAAATGAAAGTCAGATATGATGTGATTCCGCTTTACCATCTTTTCCTGTGGTGTAGCAATTACTTCAATTTTATAAAGGCCCTTTGGGCATCTAGTGATGTGAAGAAGTAAAGAACTATGGACTTTCTCTGCAGGTTCACAAATTCTATTTTGATTAATTTCAGTTGCAAGTAACAAAAAATTGTGACTTAAAATTGCTTCTGCTTAAACAAAAAGGGAATTTATTGGCTGTGTTGTATATAACAGCCCAGGGAGTAGACTGTGGGCTCCAGGTACTCAAATAATATAATCAGGAAGTCTGTTTCTCTTCATCTCTAGACTTTGCTTTCTCTGTGTTAGCTTCAAACTTGGGCAAGCTCTTCTTACATAGTGGCAAGATGGTTCCCAGCAGCCTATGGCATATACATCCTCCATAGCTCGGCAGCCGCAGTAGAAAGAGAACTTATCTTGCCTGATAGTTTCTGCCAATGTCCTGAGGTTCTGCTGGGAAGCCATTGGTTCTGTTGGGTCATATATATATATCCTTTAAATAAACACTCTAGCCAGGGGTGTGAAATATTCTAATTGTACAGGTCTGTGTCATGTGCCTACCTGAAGAATAATAAAACATCTGTGTAGGGTCAATATCATGCAAGGGAAATAACAAACTCAATAAATCAAAGAATTTACACTCAAGGAAATGGAGATAACATCAATACGAACAGAAGGATCACCAAATACCAGAAAAGATTTTAAAGAAAAGATGATAGTAAGCAGTTTCAAGTGACACAAGACAATGCTCCTATGGGAGGCCCTGTTATCAGGATGACTTACTTTCCTCCACATCTTAGCCAAAGTGATCAAATCTTTTGATAGCAATTCTTATATTTCTTTATACACTTTTATACAGAGCCATCCTGAAAACAATTCCATCTTTTTAGCCTTCATGTTCCTCCTAATGCCAACAAGATAAGGTATTATTATGTGTAATTTCCCATCTCTTTGTGAAACTCTTGACCTGTGCCTTATCCCAGAATGTGGAGTAAATCTAGGAAAGAGATACGGGTAGAGATCAAAGTTAGTATTTGGAGAAGTACAGTTCCAGTTCCCATAAGGTAGCAAACTTAATACTGGCTCTTCAGAATCATGGAAAGTTATAGAAGCAGGGGACCTTAAGATTGTGTTTATTTTGTAGATGAGGAAACTGAGGGTCAGAGGGGTTAAATGGTTGCCCAAGGTCAAACAGTTGGTTAACGGAGGAGCAAGAATGAGAAATCAAGGCAGTTGGTCTGCAGACTTCTGGTCTAGGACTCTGTCTGCTGTCACATATTGCTGCTTGCTGAAGTTTAATTCATCTACAATTTTGATTAACTCACAAGGTGTAGTGGCTGCAAAAGAAATAGGAACTGAGCTAAAACTTGTTAAGTCCAGGCACTAAGATATGACAACAATAATCCGCTTAATTATGGGGCAATTTGGAAACTAGGAGCAGGAAGGATATGAAATTAGTGCTTCTTTGTACCCTGGGCTCCAATACATGAATTTGTGATTGTCTTAAAACTATGGGGGGGCCGGCCCCGTGGCTTAGCGATTAAGTGTGCGCGCTCTGCTACTGGCGGCCCGGGTTCGGATCCCGGGTGCGCACCGACGCACCGCTTCTCCGGCCACGCTGAGGCCGCATCCCACATACAGCAACTAGAAGGATGTGCAGCTATGACATACAACTATCTACTG